TCCCTTCAAAGGAGGCTTCGAGTGCAGTGCCTGGGGGTGGAACCGGGGGTGGAAGATGTTCTTGCTGTTTTGTGTATGAAGTTACTAACATACAATTTTTCCCTTCACTGGAACATCTTACACACCTGAGCTTCTCCAGACTCCCCAGCTACAGCTCTGAAGGCAGAAAGGGCAGATAGCATTTATGCTCAGTTATGGTTTAACTTACTGTTTGTGTTAAACCAGGAGCAGACAGAGATGATTTCATGAAAAGGATGTCAAATGCACCTTCACCTAGCCTTGCAGTAACACCTCTGGCACGCAGCCACACAATAATACAGCTGCAGTCGGTTCACTGGGACAGACATGGAAGACTGAAGTGGATGCAGCGATGGTAACGGACCTTCCGAGCAGGGGCAGTGTCCTGCCACGGGAGGCAAAGCTGGGGGGGCTCTGCCACAGGTTTCAGTAAGGAAACAAAGGAGAAAACACTCTTTTGTATCCTACTGATGTTTTGCTGCATTAGCTGCTCCATTTGGATGGAGGCTTATAAGTAAACCTTGAAGTTTGGAGATAATGAAACTATTTCCAATAAACATGCAGATGCAGCTGTCACTGCACAGCTACCAAGTAAGGTGTGAAAAACAGGGGCTGTTAAATCCACATCCCCATGCAGTAAGAGGCAACTCTTTCACACTTACTTAACATTTATTTTATCAGAGTAGATGGTCCAAGTTAAAGGTACTCATGCAATTGAGGGGCCTGGCGGCTGTAAGGAACTCTTCCCCAGTTTGTGCTGCGTGTGAGCACTTCCACTGAAGTGAAAGTAAGGCAGAACCAAGAGTTAGCAAGGTACAGGCACTTTGTTCCCAGTTCAAGCAGGGAAAAAAAAAAGCCTACACCAGGTTCTGGTCCCCCCACCCCAAAAAAGCCTCGTGTTTGTTAAACAAAATGTTGTAAAAAATAGAAAAAAACCCAAGATACATAAAGTCAGTGCTCCCTAACCATACACTACTAGTTTACGTCATCGTATGTAAGACCAGAAGTTAAGAAACCATAAACCAAAGCGTACTCTTACCAAGTGTTCAGTTACCTGGGGTATTTCACCATCTGTGTAACGCCAAGTATTTGACAGCAGCACGGTAACAGTCTGACTTGGTATTGCCAACCGTGTATAACAGCCTGCCCAACCCTCTGGTTAAGCAATTGCTTGTAGAAGTAACATAGGAAAGGTATTTTAAATTCCACATTATCTGGTTACATAAAACTGATTTACAAAAAAACTCATATACCAAACAATATTCTAAATAAATAGTTCATCTTCATGACTATGTACAGAGTCCCCACTGCATCAGTTATCCAAGAAGGGCATGTCTGTGTCCATGGGTGCCGGTGCAAGTTCGCACAGATAGACCCCCAGCCGCACCAGTTTGCTCTGGGTGGGCTCAGGATCCAGGCTGGGATCCAGGAGCTCGTCCATCTCCAGGGGTTTGTCGACGCAAGGGGGAGTCTCAGCTTCAAAGGTCCCGCTCTCGGCGGCGGAGCCGGGGTTCCCATCGAGGAACGCAAGGAGTGGAAACGCGGTGTACTGTATGAGCTGCTTATCTACGGGGGAAGAAATTCCCGACACAGTATCAGCTCACATGTCGTGCAGAAGGAAAAAAACAGAATCCCCCCCCGAATTTACTGAAAGACTCTTTAATAAAAAATATTATATGTGTTTGTTTTGAATGAGTGATTAGAGAATTGTTACATTCATGCATAAATACTGTTTGTTCATATTCTCCTGCAAAAACATCTGCTGCTCTGCACCGGGTGCAGTGCCAAAAAACCTAAAAAGCAAGTATAGAAAGTCTTCTGTTTTGGTTATTTGCTTATCAGCATGATACAAAACCAGACAGAGCAAATAACCACGATGGTTTTTAGAACAAGGCTTGTTCAACTGTTAAACTGTTTCAACAAAACACAACTAACCTGATTTGGGCTTAGAATCTTCTGTTTCCTGCGAAGCCGCCGGGCCAGCATTATTCTTGGTAGTTTCTATTCCCTTTGTGTCCATCTGGAAATGAAAGCAAAATCTTAAACACAGGCTTAAAGCCTTTTCCAATGCCACTAGAACACAGCTGACCAACTACTAAAAAGAATCCAACTTTTCTTTGCAAAGGGATGCAGTGGTATCAGCTACCGACGCTAACAGACCTTGTCTGAGACTGTGTGGAATGGAAGCACAGGCTTGCTCAAGCAAGAACCAAAACTGATGCTGACAGATGAACGGGACAAATTCAGAGGGCGGGATCTTTGCTCTGCTGCTTATGCTGTTTCTTTTCCCACCAGACAATACAGACGGAACCATTCTGACAAGGCGTGTACCATGCTTGCAAGTATTAAAATCTTAGAGGATATAAAAGTCAGTACACCTGTACAACGCACAGGTATTCGCCTCAAGGTAATATGAGTTGTAAAGGGCATTGTTAATCAGCGTGCTTTTCCCTTTTCCATTTAAAACCTAACAAACAGGAGGAACTCAGCTGCAGCTTTCCTATTCTCATGGAAGTCTTCAAAGCCAAAGCATGAAAAAGTGCTATTATACCACTAAAGAAAACAGTAAAGGATGAATAAAGTTTGCATCTCTCACTACTGCGTACATTGAGCAATGGATTTAAGACTTACTTTGGTATTAGTGATATGATCTGTGGGATTCATCTGCACGGAGCTTGTAAAAAGCTGAAAAAACACATCAAGTTTTAGGTATCTCAATGTTGCTATTAAGAATATAACAACATCACATCTGCACATGTGAGAATAATCCCTGTATTTAACATTTTCACCCTCTACCAGGATTAGAGTTTATTTACAGGTGGTTACCACTTTTGCCACTAAGAAAACTTAGCTCTGGAGCGTAATGGTTTGGAATTCCATGAACCTCCATCACAAGGGAAACAACTATACTATATCTAACTTCAGCCAACAAGGTTTGCTGCAGCCTTAAAATACCGATTCCTTCTCACATCGCTGCATGGAGAACTCTTGTAAGGAAGAACACGCCCTGATCGAGTTGGCAAGCGACGCCACACTGGAAGGAGCCATCAGCACGTGGGAGAGCAGCGCTGCTGCTAAGAGGGGCCAACAGACATGGGGCACCAGGTCCAACAGACAAAGGCGTTTAGGACACCACGACCTCAGGTGCTGGCCCTGGTCAGGGAACAAGCGGACAGGGAGCAGCTGCTCAGAGCGGGCCCTGGCAGTCGCGGCACCGGCACAGGGCCTTGCTACAGGGAGGCAGCCCTGCTGCAGGCAGAGCACAGCCAGGAGGTCACTAGATGCAATTCCTTCTCTCTGCACAGCACCTGAGGCCACCTGCGGGAGAGTGCCCTGTTTTAGGCCTCCCAGTACAAGAGTTTCCAAACTAGAGAGCGTCTGGAGGGCCACAGACGTCTGGGGGCTTACGGCGTACCAGAGACTGAGGGAGCTTGGCTAATCTTGTCTGGAGAGGGCAGACAAGGGAGGACAACTGCACTCTTCCACTGCTTCTAAAGAGGTGTTATGGAGGAGACAAACTCCACAGAGGTGGACAAAGGACAAGAGGCAAGAGCTACCAGCTGCAGCAGGGAAGGTGGTGACTGACACAAGGAAATTCCTCACAGAGAAGAGTCAAGCACTGGAACTGGCACCCAAGAGGCTGTGGAATCTCCCATCTTTGGAGATTTCACAATTTGAGTCAACAAGGTCCTGAGCAACATGATCCAGCTTTCAAGCTGGCCCTGCTTTGAGTGAGGGAGCTGGACTAGATGACATGCACAGATCCTTTCCAACCTAGACCATTCTACTCGACATAAATCTGAAGAGAAACTGAGAACGTACACACACTCTTAAGAAATAACCTGAAATAGCAGAGAAACTTGTACAACCAATGCCAAGAGCCTTTTTAACCCCAGTTCATCGAGAAGACCACAGATGATGTGCCGGGCTATTTCAAAGCAGAAGTATTAGTCTAATTGGTGTCTGAGTTCCCACAGCAACAAATAAAAGCATTATTTCATTAAGAAAGCCATTCGTCAATCAAAACCTTAAGCATTCACTTGAGAGCAGTGGTGTAACACTGAGAGTTGCACCAGTGCGCCACAAACACATATTTGCAAATACTTGCAACTTTGCTTTTTTAAAGGGAAGAAAGGCAAAAAAAACAATAAAAAAATCTGTTGTGTTTTAAATCTATTTTAAACAGTAACAACCCACACCAATGTTTTCTGTAGTGTATTACCAAAATACTTAAAATAAACAGTGAAAATTACATTGACCAGGAGATCTGGATCTATGCTGAACTGTCGTCCTGATAACATAGCTTGGAAGTCCTCTAAACTGCAGTCGATACTGTCAAGGTAATCCAGAAGTTCAACTCTAGGAGACAAACAATATTTTATTGCTGTATCCCTTAACAAGAGGAAGAGAAATACACAATTAAGCTTTACACAGATGGACTACATGCATCTAAAAATCTTCACCAGAACTATAATGAATTAAGTCGTTCATTAGCAACAACCTCTGGAAAAAAATGAAAACTTTTAGCCTCTTTAGAGGAGAATCCACGTAAAGCAGACAGGTGCTCCAAAGTAGACATCACATCAATGTAACACTGTGAGATAACATCAGCAGAGATGCAACTCTTGCATCCAGGTAGCCCCAATGAGTTGCATCTGCCTGCAAGAGCTACGCAGGTAAGTCCTGACAGTTTAAACAATGACACCCACAACGCTGTCAGATTATACACCCCCCTACTTCACTCACTTCCCACGGTTAAAATCAAGAGGTCCCATCTTAAAATAACTAAAATAGAAGGAGCTTTAGAAACTGGCCAGAATAAAAGTGGCCTAGAAATTTAAAGTTCTCAACAGAAACTACTACTCAGTTACTTTTGCTTCAGCCAAACGAATGGTTCTAATACTTGAAAGAGCAGAAGACCAGGCTACTCACTTTCCAAGAAGATTTATGTTCTGTGATATTACTCCATTCTCACTGAGTATGGAATCCATCATTGAGACCGGATCTTCCGCAGTTAAAGCCGACTGGTTATTCAGCTGTACGGCACTTGACATGAGTGGGCTCGTACTGTCACTGACAGGGCTGAGGGGATCGCTAGCTGGGACAGCAATCGATTCCGTGCTTTCATCCCCTTGGATTACAGGGGCATATTCTTCTTCGTTATCATCTTCCACAATTACAATATCGGGAGAATGACTACAGCTGTAATATGAGACAAATGAATTAAAGTATTTCATGCACTCATTTAAACCGTACTATTCCACAGCTTTAGTTTCTTCTCATCTTAGTCAAGCTACTGTAAGGAAATAAACTTTCCTATCACTTTTTAAATACAGAACACAGCCAGATAGCCTAAACATCTATTTTCCATTGATTTGGTGCTGTCACGCTCAATACAGTATATGCAGCTCAGCTAGCAGACACTGTTGTGCTAGGCCACAATAACAAATACTAAAGATACGGGAACACTGGTATTTTTTGCATTAGAACAAATATAAGGTCACATATAAATGTAAAGTACAAAGTGGACCAAAGCATATGAGGCCACTGAACTAGACAGACAACATGTATTTTACATCTTTCCTGTCAAACAGAATCACCTCTGGAGCACCCATAGCATAAAGTATCTCAGTTGATAGTGTTGTAGTTAATTAACCTTGTTATGTATACCAACAAGGCGACCTAAAAACCAAGACAGAGTCTCAAATAATTTGCTTTCCTCCATATTCTTGTTTTCTTAACCCTTAAGTAGCTGTTAGCTGTGCCGCCTCTCTATCGTAGCCTTATCTTCATGAAGCTTTTCTATCAGAGAATGCAGGCCCAGACATCAGCTGAACAAGAACAATGGTACTAGTTCAAATACAAGCTAGAAATGTCCATGTTTTATTCCTCGAGGCATAGCACAGGCCCTATCAATGCAACTCAGGAAGAGAGCTGCATCTCAATCCGTGGACCAAGTTTCAGGTGCTCATAGCTGAAAGATGAGCAACTTCTATAGTGCTAATTATAGACAGGAAGGAACATAGTCACAAAACACTTGGGACTGAAAAAAAAAGAAACAAGTTAACTGGCTTAATAAACTTCAAAGACCACATCAACATAAACAAACAGCACATGCAGATTATTCTCCATAAAAATCTGTAAAAACAAGGGAAGTTATTCCTGTCTGCATTCATAACCAAAAGTAAGGAGACATCACTTACTCTGTCTTTGGACAAGTAATATATTTAACAAGAGTACAATAATACAGATTGTTGCTCACTAGTTTCTCTCCTCAGCCTATCAGAACTCCAACAGCCAATTAACCATTTGGAACAAATCCAGAGGTCAACAAATCAGAACCTAACACAAATTCACAGATGAAGCTTCAATATGTGCAGGAGTACTGAATAATTCTGACCACTTCGTTAAAAAAAATCAGCTAAGACATCTGAATTATTGCATACTATACAACACGGAAAGCCGGTTATCTATACAGACTTCTAAACACTTCTTACTTGGAAGAATCTGAAGTGGTATCTTCATTTGCTTCTGTTGTAACAGAAAGATTTTCTTCATCACCCATATGATTTTCTTCATCACCAACATCCTCAGTGACATCATAGATAATGATGTCATCTGAAATCTGCTCCCTTTCTTTTAAGCCCTCATTTCTCTTGAGAGGTACCTGTGAATTATTTTAAGAAGAGTCAGGGGGCAGAAAGACAACAAGCTTCAGCATTCTGGCAGTTATAATTGTATCTTACAATGCTTCAATTCTAAATAGGTGTAAGAGCTTTCCTACAGCTTGGAGACTCCAAGCTGTTTGTACAGATCTACATTTAATAGAAAAAACATACAAATAAATGAACATGCTGGAGAACAGCAGCTACAGAAAAAACCCCGTTTGGCAAATACTACAGGCATAGAAGTAAAAATATACTAGCACTGTCAGCAAAAGCAACAACAAAGCTCCAACAATAGGACTACACAAGAACTAAAAATATTAGAACAGTGACTGCCATTTAAACAGTACTTTATAATAAAGCTAATAATTCTAGTACCATGCTACAGCACTCATTCTAATGATTTCCTCACCAACCATTATTTGGACAGCAGAAAATAACTTTCAGTGGTGTGACACATTCAAATGGCACAGGAACTTGACATGATTTTGCTGGGTTGGTTGCTGCCTTGCAGAGCAACACGCGAGATCCTTGTCCCTGTTTGGGGCTAGTAGCACCTAACTCCCACAGATAACAACACAACATACATATGCTATTTCTAACAGCACTACTATTACGAGCAAACTGCTTTCAGTAGCATCACATCAAGCTGTATGTAATACACAGGCAACTGGCTGACACATGCTTCTGTTGAAAAGTGAATGGTGATTATCAACACATTTGGCTTCTGAAGGAAACACAACATGGTATACCACTTCCAAAAGTTGACAGCTCTCAGTATACAGTTATGTTTTGTTCCCCATAAGAGAAGCTACTTCATTTCTCTGCCCCCCTCCACTCCTTCCTTCACCACAACAAAGAGTATGCGTGAAATAAAACTTACATGGTGGTTACTGTCAGCTGGTTCTTTCACAATTTGCTGAAATACATTTGACTTTGTAGGTCCGTTAGTGTTCAGAAGTAGAGGCCTAAATCAGAAAGAGTAAAGTAAGAAAGCCATCTCAAAACTAATTCTTTGAGTTTTTTCAACAAAACATGTCAGTATATTGACTGGACAGCAAGTTTTCAAGACCATATTTACCTCTTACGTTTTAGGCTCACTAGTTGGTTATTCTGCACCAAGGTAACAATAAATTGTACAATCTATAAGGAAAAGAACACTATTGTTAGTATCTCTGCTCTGTAATTGTTTCTCTCAGAGTACAAAGATACCTTATAGGAGAAGACTTCAGTAATAAAACCTATGCATACAGAGCAGAACACTTATTCTGTGTAGTAACTCTCATATAGAACTGTTCAGAAAAGTTAAAAATCGTGGTAGAATAGAAACACTGTTGGTAATACCTAAAAAGAATAGTTCTTCACTTGTCTGAGAAAGGTTCTTCACATAGCATGCGATAAGAGTAGACTTTTACACTACATCCTACAGCAGAAAGAAAAGCATCCAGTAACTCAAACTACTAGAAGAACTCTAATAAGCAATGGCAGAAGGCACACAGGGATGTTGATTGCACACATAACCTGCATCTGTAAATACTGGTTCTGGTGAAAGGCATTTTAGACAGATTCAGAAAAAGTGACATGTACACTTAACAGTATTCATCAGCCGCCTTTCCTTTTGAAATGTTAGATTTTCTTCCCTTATGTTTTAAATTTAAGGATTAAATGTGTGTATCTGGCTTGAACAAACTGGGAAAAAAAGTCAGTACGAGTCTCTGCTACAAGTCTGTTTCAGTGCTATTTCTCATACGTAAAACAAAAATAAATCTGCAAACTCTTTGCATTTGCATCAGTCTGGTAGCTCATAAATCTAACTGTTAAAACTAAACTAAGCTAACGTATGATCAGTGGGTTCCACTCAATAATCTATTCTTCTGCTAACTTCAGAAATATACAGTCAGTGGATCAGTTAAGTGGGATAGTAGTGAATTTCCAATACAGAACTCTAATTCTTGCAGCGGGAAAAAGTTTTTCCTGCGAATTCATCCAACACAGAGTATTAGTCATCTGATTACTGAAATAATAAAAAATGGATGGATCAGTTTAAGGGTACCTTAATGAACGATGTATGATGTTCTTGAACCTCTTTCTCTAAAAATGTTTACAAGGGTTTGCCCTTATCTTCTGCTTATGCGGTGAAACACAATGAACGTTTGTTCCACAAAGATTTGTTCACAATACCCCACCCTGTTGTTTTTTCTATTACAGACATTTCACACACAACAGAAAAAAAGAGTGAGGGCAAAGCAGGGTAACATGTGGCACAGCATCCCTTGCTCAGAAGCACTCACTCACTCATTTGCATACACCTGCAGGAAGCCTCACCTTCCGAATGACTTGCTGCTGCTGCAAGTGTTTTGCTCTCAGTTCTGCCACTTCCCTCCAAAGTGATTCATTCTCCCTGTTTGAAAAGGATGATTTAAAAGTCAAAATAAAACAAAGTTTTAAAATATTTACATTAATCATTTTTGTGAAGATTACTTGGCTCCAATAAAGCTCTTTGCAGTGTGTTTTTAGAATGGGAGGGGTGGAGGGGAAAGTCACACACTCAGCAGCCTTGGCAACTAATTACAAAATGGAGACATAAACACAACAACTAGTCTGCAGAGAAGTTCCAGCCCCCTTATTAAAAAAAAGTTCCCAAATTTGGCGATACGCATTGCACATACAATCAGCATTTAAAAATTAACTGTTTTGTTTCCTTTCCTGTAACAAAGTTCCCTTCTCCTCTTCCTTCTAGTAATTCACTCCTAAGAAATTAAAATAAAAAAAAATCAAGCATACAACTGGTTTCTCGCAGCAGCAAAGGACCAAATAGCATAAGAATGCAGCTTCCTCTCACCACCAAAAAACAAGAGATCTTCATCTGTATCAAGCCTGTTTGTCCTCCCTCACACTCCTCTTGCTAGATGCAAGCTACCTGTCAGCAACAGCACACCCATCTTGAAAGCATCTTTACAGAACGAGCTCTCAAGTCATACACGCAGCTGTAGGTCTAAAAAACTGTTCGGTGCTAAAAAACAACAGGAGCAAGCAGAGAGGGCAGCTTTCATGAAACACTGTCATTTTACAAACCTTGGTTGTTCCAGTGCTCACAAGAGTCCAGTTACTGAGACAGTATAAAAACTGCTGTAAAGTGCCCCTTGCTATCGTATCCACAAACCTCGTTGCTTCCAACAGCATAAAGCATATTAAGAGGTAGATAATGAACATCGAAAGCTTCACAGAATCACAGAACGGCTTCAGTGAATAAGGAAAGACAATGTATCACCCTCCTCTCTCTTGCAGTTTAGTTTTCAACAGAGATGTATGCCAAAAAAGGAGGAAAATCTCTCCACCGGTGTTTGGGTTTTTAGGAAACCTTAAGCGAAGTTTTTGGGAACAGCTGTTTATATGCAGTGTGATGAAGCTTATCGCTCATTCTTCAAGCTGCTCTATGTCCAACATACAACTGAAGAGTACAGTTCCATCACAAATTTAACAACTGAGGTCAGGGATTCTGAACTTTCTCAATCTTCCCAACAGTTTTATTACCATGTTTTGTAGGACTAGGTCTTCTAATTTAGCTCCAGTTTCTACGTCAATAATTTTAAACTTGTGGGACAACAAAGATGCCAAAGACCAACCATTCTATTTTCTCATCTCTACCAACGGTCAGGTCGTTAGCAACTGGATGTCATTTCAGCCAAGTTCAGCCCTGCTCTGGGCAGGGGTCTGTACCTGACCGCCTTGTGAGGTTCCTTCCAACCCAAATTTGTCCATGATTTGAAAAGGGTGCATATGAACACTTTTAGTCTAGACTGGACATATTCTAACAAAGACTCTTCCTATACAAAGTAAGTTTGACTCCGAATATTCTATCACAAGTAATTAGAACTGGAGACTAGAAATGTGAACATTTACTTCTGAAAACTTCAGTGACCTCTACCACAGAGATACACAATCTTTTACGTTCTCAACGTAAGTTAAGGAGTCCTGAGATGGAATTACTGTTGAGGTGCTGTGACTTACAGTACATGAGCTTACGCTCATATATCCTGTTTCGACAAACTCTAAAGGATTAATTTGTGTCACACATCTCACTTATTGTTGAGAAGAAATCGTAATTACTAAGTAGGTAATCACACAATTCTAAAAACACTCTATTTACATTTGGGGTTCAGATTCTGTGCCTCTGTTGCTTAAGTAACTAATGAAGTTCCAAATCAGACTTCTAAACAGACTTTCACAGGCATCAACTCTTCTGCAATTTTTAGCAGTGAGGGAATGAAGACGACAACAACAGGATAATGAAAAGCAATGAGCAAAGACATTAACTGTAGTAAGAAAGTATTATAAGCAATTTGCACAAACCAAACTCTGCCTCAAACTAAACACAGTAGCTACTTCAAACTTGAAGATGTAAACCAGCACACTTTATGCTAAGAGCAGAGTTGAACATTCAGCCTCAGTAGCATGATGGAACTACTGTTAAAGGTGTTAGTTAATTGCCCACTACTGGACAGTTCTTCAAACACCAGCACTGCCTATCACTTATAGCTGTATTAAAATATTACATTTTTAATGCTATTCTTTTATTGAAATTTATTTTCCTAAAGCAATAAAGTTAGGCAATAAGAAATCAAGAGACACCTAAAATCAGGTCTTTGTCTGATATCTGAGAATGACTCAATTTTAGCGACCAGATGCTGACGGAGCAACTTACCTCTTCAAAGCAGACAACCGCGATTCAATAGTCTCTTGTTTAATCTGCACCTTTTGAGCACTACTTATTATTTCAGAGAGATCCTCCTGACGTATCTTGTTTTCTTCAGGTCTCGAAGAAGAAACCTTTAAAAGATTAGAATCCAGAAACAACATTTTCCTTTACTCATTGTTAACTATTAATTTCTTTTGGTGATCTTTTTAATAAGTACGTCCCTCTCACCACAGTTTAAATTGCCATATTTCTATTTGATATCTATATTCACCTGACTCACAGTAACAGCAGAGCACATTTCAGAATCACATTCAGCAGCACAACAAACATGTTTATAGGTTTGCCCCCTGTTCTCTTTGGTGGAAAGTTTAACGCTTACAGTAGTTTTGTTCTGAAACAAGCTACATAAACAAGCACATTCTTACATTACTGATGGTAAAGTCAAAACATGCTCCACGCTTCTAATACCCATTTGCAAAATGATGTATTTGCATACCTTGCTCATTTTTGTCACCCGCGAAACTTGCTATAATGACAGCAAAGCAGGTTACATAAAGGAGCGTAGTGAAATCCCCCAAAGTATCTTTAAACAAGTCAAAATCTACAAGAGCTGTGCAGTTTGCTTCCCCAAACTCCACACTTACTTGCACTCACATTCCTGCAATTAAATGTGACATCAACTTTGCTGTTCATTCATACTTACTAGCACAGGTTTTGCACATACTGAGTTTTCACTAACCTTCCTTTTAATGTGTTCCAACAAGTCCTCCCGGCCCTGCTTAAAACACGGGTGCTGAAACTCTACTGGACCATCTCGCTCCTGTTTGACAACCCCAGAATCAACATGGACAACTTTACGGAAGCCATCTTTAAAAAAAGAAAAAAAACCACAAAACTCTCAAAACCCACATTAAGAAATCGAAACTATGCTGTTCCAACTATCCTGTTACCAGTTTTGAGAATGAGACGCTATCCTAGCTGCAGAGAACACAGGGCCACTGCTCAAAAGAAATTGTCTATAACTAAACATGTACAGGATCTAGAGCTATGCTAGAAAGCAAAAGCCCAAGAACTTACACATGTTCAACTGTCTGACAAAGCTTGCCATGTTGTTGTGCTTGAAGTACTTCGGAAGAATCTCTTTTGCGAATCTCTGTTCATCCAACACCAAGAAACTCTGGCCATTCTAAAATGAGAGAGACACATTAAGCTACTTAAGGACCATTGTAGAAAACATGCTGGGCTTTTAGAATTAATCACCAGATAGGAATGTCTCCTTTGTGCATGCAGTAGGTAACTGATCTCCTTGCCTACAATTTCCACAACAAAAAGTGTACCAACCCTGCAGTTGCAAAGCAACAGAGTATCACCAATTTACATCACTATCCATATCTGAAGGTGAATGTCTCTATTGTTACTCATTGTTTCCACAAGAAATGAATTGTTTAGCAACAATTACCACAGTTTCACCACAGGACAATATCACCCATTCTGTATGTAGCGTCAAAGTATTGGGAAGGAATCTAGCAAAGAGATTGTCCAAGGGAAAAAAAAAACCACCACCAGCTGAGTCCCTTCTGCTTTCCAGTATAAAAGAATGATTAGTTTGATAGGAATGTAGAGCAGATAGAGATGTCAAAGAGCTGAGGGTGTGTACTGGGTTTTGGAGTTACCAAAAAGGTAACTACCCAAGGCAATATCCCCGTCTTCCTGGGATGCCAGCTACTTCATCCACTGGTTTTGACTAAAATGGAAGTCTCAGCTCTTTGTTCTTCAGAAACTATGCTCCATTAACTAAAGGACAAGTAATCAGTAGAATCTAAATTAGCTACTACAAAAATGGTTTAGATTTTGTCTGTACATCCACAATACTCTCACCCTGTATTTAATGAGAAGCCTGTCCTCTTCGGCAAATGTCCACACTGATACTGCATCTTCTCAGAAGTTCTTTATTTCAACAAGTTGCATGTGTTTCTTACCCCCAAATGCCAGCAGTTCTATGATCCCAAGAAGCTTGAAGAACCAACCATGAGACCATGCAAAGATTCTTGCTGAAGAACTCGTTTCTGACAAGCCAGCAAGGACAGCCAGAAACAGGGTTTATAAATGGCTCACCACTGGATGAGTTAGGAGCTTAAGACCAAGAGGAGGACCGGAAGATGAAAATCTCCCAGTAACACCTACCCATCTCCCGCTGAGAACCAGTGAGTGGAAAGGAAAGGGAAGCAAAGGATGGGAACACAACATTTTAACCAATAGCTTAATGAAACTCACCAGCTGAAGTTACTCCAACAAGCGGCACTACAGTGACCTGTGATGCCAACACACAGCTTTCATGCGGCGCCTCACCTTATTCTTTTTGACATCATTCAGGCCTAGCGCAGAAAAATCTGGGAAACACGTCTACTAGTTCTTGCTGCCCTGACAGTCGTTTACAGCAAAGCTGTACACATGTCAAGGCCTGACTTGAGCTCACTGAAGCATCACCACAAAGCTAAACACACTTTTCAAGTCCTAGCACTACCGACTGCAGCGTACATCAATCCTCCATGTACTTCACTTGGTGCTCCTCGCACGCATTCCCACAGACAGCCCATACCCACGCCTTCACTGGGATATGTATGCAGGGAGACAATTCTGGCTGTGCAGCTGCAGAAGGTGTTTATCCTTACAGTGTGAGGATACGGATTTGTATAGGAGGATGGTGAAATACTGTAGCAACGGTACTCTTCCTCCCCTATTATGCCTGGTACACTTTCTGTGCCTCGTAATATTGACATAGTGTATTTTTAAAAGATGCCATCACTTGTGTACAAAGTGATCCCAATACCTTCCCCCACACAATAAGTGCTGGATGCTGAGAACATCAACTGTGATTACCGGATCTTCCTTCCATAAACAGCCTTGCAGAATCTCAAATAATTAGTCTTTATTTTTAATTAAGAAAATAATACAAAAATACCTAATAATGGTCTTGGTGTGCTTGAAAAAAAGCAATGAATTTGGAAAGTCTCCAATAATAAGGTGGGAAAAATGGCACTTCTTAAGCTAGACAGAATCTGAACCTTTATATAGGTCTTAGCATCTCTATTCCAGGAAAAAAAAAAAAAAAGAAATTAGCAGGAAAAGCTGCCATAATCTACAAAGTCTACCTGCTTCCTTCTTCAGGAAGATTTAGCAGAAGTTACTGGTAACTCACTATCAGCAAAATGTTTAAGACGACATTTCATCGTTCTTTGAGTATTTGAAAGCAATTCAGTTGAGAGCTGCCATCTCAACACCACTTAAATACGTTGATATAGTTTGAGAACAGGATTATTTTTGATGTTTTAAAAATAATTTATATAAGATAAAGAGAAAAATTAAGTTATTCCTAAACAAACCCACTTAGCACTTCTCTCAAGAGCTAACGATGCTTACTGCAGCAAACCTGCCAGTCCTTCATTACATCGTAGGAGGGTGGTTACTTCCTGCCTTCCAACAGGGACGGAGCAGCTCTCCTGGGAGGAAAGGCTGAGGGAGTTGGGGCTGTTCAGCCTGGAGAACAGAAGGCTGCACGGAGACCTTGCTGCAGCCTTCCAATACTGAAAGGGGGCTTGTAAGAAAGATGGGGAGAAACTTTAGCAGGGCCTGTTGTGATAGGACGAGGTGTAATGACTTTAAAAAGAGAGTAGATTTAGGCTGGATATAAGGAAGAAATTTTTTTACAGTGAGGGTGGTGAAACACTGGATCAGGTTTCCCAGAGCGGTGGTCGATGCCCCATCCCTGGAACCGTTCAAGGCCAGGTTGGATGGGGCTCTGAGCAACCTGGTCTAGCTGAAGATGTCCCTGCTCACTGCAGGGGGGGCTGGACTAGATGACCTCTAAAGGTCCCTTCCAATCCAAACTATTCTATGAATCAATATTTTAGGATACTTACAAAACCGTATGCCCTGATAACGCCTCTTTATTACTCACTACAACAGCCTACGCTTGAACACGCAGATTTCAAGACGAAAGAACCACCCAACCCGGGTTTTCCTTTTTTTTTTTTCTCCCAAAAATCAACGGGGTCGCCACGCACCTGTGA